GCTCATCAAAAATTGGCAGAAAGAAATAAAGTAGAAATGAAAAAATGATTAATAGTTTCCAGTTAGAGAAAGAATAACTAGATTATTGGATGTAGGATCTCCATTTTTGGAATTATCTTAATTGGCAGGATATGAATTATATGGAAAGGAAGAAGTACCAAGTGGAGGTTAGAATAATATAGAATGATAGGGATTGTAACTGGAATAGGATTAATAAATAAGAGATTCTGTATGATAGTTGCAAATGATCCAACAATAAAAGGGGGAACATATTATCCAATAACAGTGAAAAAACATGTTCGAGCATAAGAAATAGCATGGGAGAATAAATTACCTTGTGTTTATTTAGTAGATTCTGGAGGTGCAAAGTAATTATATATGTAAATAATCAAGTTTAATGCTTTAAGATGAAGTATTTCCTGATAGAGATCATTTTGGAAGAATATTTTATAATTAAGCTAATATGTCAGCATAAGGGATTCCTTAAATTAGTATAGTACTTGGATCATGTACAGCTGGAGGAGCATAGTAATAATCTAGTTATATATGATTTTTTAAGTGTTCCTGCTATGAGTGATGAGAATGTTATTGTAAGCGGAAATGGTACAATCTTTTTAGGAGGTCCTCCTTTAGTAAAAGCAGCCACAGGTGAAAAAGTAACAGCAGAAGATTTAGGAGGAGCAAGAGTTCATTGTTTTACTAGTGGATTGACAGATCATTTCTGTAGTTCAGAATTAGAAGCTTTATAAAAAGGTAGATCTATAATTAAGAATTTAAATACAAAATAAGTAGGTAATATTATTGATGATTAACCTATTTATGATATTGAAGATTTAAATTATATGATGAGTAGTGATCTCAAACAGTCTATGGATAGTAGACATTTAATTGCAAGAATTCTAGATGGATCTAGATTTATGGAATTTAAAGAATATTATGGTACTACTCTTATTACAGGATTTGGAGAATTATATGGATAAGAAGTAGGTATCATAGCTAATAATGGAATTCTTTTTAGTGAATCAGCATTAAAAGGTGCTCATTTTGTTAGTTTATGTTAATAAAGAGGAGTTCCATTAATTTTCTTATAAAATATTACAGGATTTATGGTTGGTCGTAAATATGAGACAGAAGGTATAGCTAAACATGGAGCTA